GACCTAGGGTGAATTTTAAATAGGGATAATTTTTAATGATTTTTAATAAGAGACACAGCTACAAATATTTGGTTTTAATTGGCTTTTATTGGGGAAATGTGCTATGTTGTTTTAATATGCTGTGAGCCGCCCTGAGTCCCGTGGGGAGAAGGGCGGCATATAAGTCAATGTATTAAATTAAATTAAATTAAATTAAATCCCTACTATCTCAGTGCAAGAAATACACATCCCCACGAAAACATATGTTAAAGGAAGTAAGAAATCAATAAAATATAGCCAACTAAATAATTTGGAGTGCATAGGTAATAGCAGGGGGTCATATAAACTGGGGATATGCCACATCCATCTCAACTTTAAATAGAGTTGTTCCAATCTTATTGGAAATGTTCCAATTAGGCTAGAGGCATTTGTAGCTTCAAAACACTTGTAGAATAGTTAAAACACTGTAGGAGCTTCCAAAGAGGTCAGGACAGTTATTTCAAGCTTAAAATGGAACATTTTGAGCTTGGAATGTTTTGAGCTTGGGAACATTTTGCATACCACTGGTATAAAGCAAATCACATCCTCCAGAAAAAGAGCATATAAGAAACTAAAGGATAATTATAAATCTACAAAGATAGCCAATATGCAAGAAACTTTGTATTCCTTTCACTATCAGGACATTTTTTTCTCTTAAAATGCTTTTTCATCCTACTTGTTTCACTCTAGTTTCAGTCATAGTAGCTTAATTAGGATGTTCCTGATCCAAGGTAGCATGCCTGTTTGCTGAACAGTGACACTTCCAAGGCAGGGCTTCAGAAGAGACATAAAAGGTCCCACTTCACAGAACAGGCAGAAGGGAGCCACAGCGCAACCAGAACAAACATATTACCTGCATATTGAGTTCAGCCCAGTACTGATTGTTAATAAAGTGTTATAATTACTACATCTACATCTGGATCCAACCCATTACTATCTAAAGGATGACTCCCATAGGCCTGTAAAACTCTACAACTATCTGATACCACTATTGAGAGAAGAGAGGTGATAGAGAAGAGGCAAACGCTGTTGATTGCTTGTTAGCTCATGGAAATGTATTGCTTGTTGAAAATGTCCCATGTCCCTATTGAACAGGAAGAGTTGTCTCTTTCAGTTGTTTTTGAAATTGTATTTTAGCTAACCTCAAGTGAATCCAGAGCTGGTTGAGCAATCCCGCTTTTTTTTCTCCAGCACCTCCATTTTGTTTTTCATCTGTCAATGCTAGTCACTGGAGTTCAATATTAATAGCAGAAAAGATGCATCTGTGCAGTAAGAACTTTCTGTTATTTATTCACCAGAAAACCATCCTGATTTCTGAAACAGTCTAAGGCAATTCTGTTTCTAAATCTGGACAAATAACCCCCCTTTTTTTCTTCTGTACAAACGTGTCCAATTCTCACAGATTGCTAGGACAGGTCCCTGAAGTTTTCTTGGCAAGATTTTTCTGAAGTGGTTTGCCATTACCCCTTCTTCCAGGGCTGAGAGAGAGTGACTGGCCCAAGGTCACCCACCTGGCTTTGTGCTTAAGGCCAGACTAGAATGACCATTACCCAGTTTCTAGCCTGGTGCCGTAACCACTTCACCAAACTGGCTCTCATTCTCAAATTATTTGGGGCCAAAACTTTGGGGCCAGTATCGTTTGCTTATTTTTGGAATTTAGGAAGGATTTTAATGCACATTATCATTGTCTGATCATTTCTGTTGGAAACAGGCTGATATGTTTTTGTACAATTTAAACATGAAATGTAGAAGTTCAACAAAGTGATTTTTTTTTTACAAGATCTTGGGTGATGACAATAATGGATCTTGGATTCTGGCAAGAGAACTAGCTTGTTTTATAATTTAGAATTATTTTAATTGTTATCTGATTGTATAGTGTTCTATGTCCTAGAACTGTTCCAGTCCATTCTTCTATTTTCTTTCTCCCATTTTCAGTTGAGGGGAGAAGCTAGTGGAACACTTTGGTTTCTTATGATTACTTGTATAGACTAGCAGATGTTCTGAAAATGGGGGGAAAAAAGAACTCTGAATAACATGGCCTTGTTTTGCCTCTCCATAGGGTTTTTGCTCCTGGTTGACAGCAATCTTCAGGATAAAGTAAGTTTATCCTATTTCCATGCAGATGTTTCTCCATTCTAGTGACTAAATGCCACCAATATCAATTGCTATTGCTCTTAACACTTGTTATGCTATCAGTATGGTGATAGAAAGTATAGCATTGCCCATATTTATTTATTAATTAAATAAAAGGGAAATGGATCATGGGAAGCCCAGAGCAGGTGGATCTGAGCCTGCACTAGACCTTCCAGGGCGTCCCCAACCTCTAAGGCAGTGGTTCTCAACCTTTTTAATGCCGCGACCCCAACCGGTCGTAAGTCAAGGACTAAACCAGTTGTAAGTCGAGGACTAAACCGGTCGTAAGTCGAGGACTAAACCGGTCATAAGTCGAGGACTACTCAACCGGTTTGTAAGTTGAGGACTTTCCCTGCCCGGGAGTGCCGCGCATGCGTGGTTCCGCCCCCTGCGCCGGCCGAGGCGTAGCTGGCAAGTGGCAGAGACGGGAGCAGGCCGACCACCAGCTGACCCAGCCCAAGGGAGGTAAGGCACCCGCCGGAAAAGGGGGAAAAATGGCAGACAAAAAAAATGGCGGAAAAAAAAATGGTGGACAGCCTTGCTTGGCGACCCCCATGAAATGGTCGATCGACCCCAAATGGGGTCCCGACCCACAGGTTGAGAACCACTGCTCTAAGGCACCCTGTGTTCTACTTAATGGCCTGCAATCACTGAATGACCACATTGGAGAGAACAGGGAAGGAAGTCATTAAGCAAGGTGATCACGTGGGCATCTTCCTTAATGACCCTAACAACTTGCGACCATAATGAGCATACTCCATTACAGTCATTACACAAGGACTACTATATTGCCTTAACAAAGATCTTATGTTCAGAAACTAAACACATTTCTTCAAAGTTATTCTGCAGTCAAGGGGACTTCAGATTCATTGACTCAGGGATGTCTGGTAATGTGTTGTTTCTTTCTAAAAGAACAAAGTGGGTGGGCTTACACCTCCTTTTAATATATAGAAAGTAACAGAAGCCAATTAGCCAATATCTGCTCTATTGAAAGATTCTTTGGTTTTCATTTGAGAGTTATAGAAATTTCAGGGCTCTTAAATTTGTGTGATATAATATTGAAAATAAGAATTCCTCCAAGCATGTCATCGTTTAATTCACTTAAAGTAGTTAGCTTGCAGTTCAGAGAAATAGGAATGATGCATGGAAACTTTATTTCCAGCTCTGTCTACATAATTCTTGATTTTAACTCTTCTGTATGATCCATTACAACAAAGATGATTAGGGGACTGGAGGATAAAACATACAAAGAACAGTTACAGGAACTGGGTTTGTCTAGTCTAGTGAAAAGAAGACTAGGAGAGATGTGATAGCAATGTTCCAGTATTTATGGGGCTGCCACAAAGTACCTGAAAGCAGGATAAGAAGACAGTTAGAACAATTAATCTTTGGAACGACTTGCCTCCAGAAGTTGTGGGTGCTCCAACACTGGAAGTTTTTAAAAAGAGCCTGGACAAACATTTGTCTGAAATGTATAGGATTTCCAGTTTGAACAATGGTTTGGACTAGAAGATCCCCAAGGTCCCTTCCAACTCTGTTATCCTGTTCTACATTTTTACTGTATTCCGCTCTACAATTTTTTTAAAAAGTGAAAGATGTTTTAATGAATGGAAAGGAAAACCAGTGAGCATGATATTCTCCACCCTGGCCCAATCTACTCTACCTTCTCCATTTTCATAGCAGTCACCATCCTCTAACATTGGCCAATCTCCTGAGAGACAGTCAGTCTGAGGAGCCATCTTTCCTGCCTCCAGACTACTGAGAGAAGATAGCCAACTGCTTGCCAGATGTTTAATTATCTACTTCAGAAAGGACAAACTTAAAAGCATATGCCTACTTCTACTAGCAGAAGCTTTCCTTTATTGGTCTGACATTTTGGATGAACATCTTGACTAGTCCCAAGAATCCTGAAGCTATTCCAAATCTTACCCAATTTCTTTTCTTTTCCAGGGATGATGAAATCAGGGATAAGTGTGGGGCAGATGCAGTCCATTACCTCTCCTTCCAGCGGCATATCATTGGGTTGCTAGTTGCCGTAGGTGTCCTATCTGTGGGAATTGTCTTGCCAGTGAATTTCTCAGGGGATCTTCTTGGTAAGTGGAAGGCATTTTGTGTCAGAACTCTGCTGGGGGGAGGTCTCACTCAGCTCTGGGACCTGTGTTTCTACTGTGTGGGTCAAAAGAGCAGAAGTGATTCAGACATATAGGTAGACAGATTTTCCTCTGAAATCTCATCTAGGTTTTATCTAGCCTGAGAAATGCTATCCATGCATCAGCAAGCTTGGAAGAACACCAAGATTTGCAGCTGTAGAAACAACATTTAGGATAACAGCCAAGGAGAACTAAGCATGCTGAGTGGGCAGAGAATGACAACTGACCTGGAAAAGGGGCTGGCTAAACAAGAAAACTCTGCATTGAATTTGTTATGGTACTTGTAAATATTATCTCTTAAGCAAAGAGATAAGAAGGAAAATGTGATAGTTTGCAAGACATGGATGGCCTCTTCCAAGCATTTGTTCATCCTGGTCATTAAGCTGTAGAGCAGGAAGGGTTCTAAAGCTTAGCAAAATGGAAACAAAACATAACCACTGACTTACGTGAATTTTATTTTATTTTTGTAAATATTTTATTAATTTCAAGTTTTACAATCATAAATACTTAATAAACAACTTGGTGTCTGGGTTCCTTTATCATTCAGTGGTATATATTAACTTTCACTCAAAATATCCAATACTACACCATCCAATATTTCCCTGATTCTCTCTTCTTCCAATAATAATCATTTTACCCAACTATGCAAATATAATTCTTACTGCTATTAATACCTATACAATTAAATATAAACATCTTCATCACATGTTTCTAATGTTATACATAGTATCCATAATATCAGTTTATAATATCTTCTCTAGCCAAAACATATCTCAAATGTATTTGCAGTCAAGAGTTCCCTTATTCAATCCATATCCTGTTTTTTTTCTCTTTTTTCAATTTTAATTTCCCATCAGTATTCAAAATAACTTTATCAATTATCATTTTTCTTATAATTAATTACATTTGGGTAACTAAAAGCTTCCTTTATACCGACCCTCTTAGTATTTTCATATTTCCCATCTTATGTTATCCTAGTTACAAATCACATCCTTCTATTTTATAATGGTCCTTTTATTTCTAACAATTGTCTATTCTTTTAATCATATTCAGACATCCATTAGATCAGTGGTTCTCAACCTGTGGGTCGGGACCCCATTTGGGGTCGATCGACCATTTCAAGGGGGTCGCCAAGCAAGGCTGTCCGCCATTTTTTTTGTCTGCCATTTTTTTTGTCCGCCATTTTTTTCCCCTTTTCCGGTGGGTGCCTTACCTCCCTTGGGCTGGGCCAGCTGGTGGTCGGCCTGCTCCGTCTCTGCCGCTTGCCAGCTACACCTTGGCCGGCACAGGGGGCGGAACCACGCATGCGCGGCGCTCCCGGGCAGGGAAAGTCCTCGACTTACGACCAATTGGGTAGTCCTCGACTTACGACCGGTTTAGTCCTCGACTTACGACCGGTTTAGTCCTCAACTTACGATCGGTTTAGTCCTCGACTTACGACCGGTTGGGGTCGCGGCATTAAAAAGGTTGAGAACCACTGCATTAGATGGTATAATACCTCATCTAATTAGTCAGGACCTCTATTTTCTTCAGTCTTACTCTAGCTTTCTTACTTTGCCAAATAACTTTGCAAGTTAGTACATTTAGATCACCAAGTATTTCTTCCTCTGTTTCTGTATATATTATTTGAAATAAAAAATACAATTTAATTAAAATGTTTTTGTAAAAACACTTAATCCATTTATATTTATTAAACAGCCTTCATTTTCTTTTTCCTTCAGTTTCTCTTTTAGTTTCTTGTTCCCCAGTTTTCAGCATTTTTCCTAACACAGCTCTGACATCCATTCTATCAGTTCTTCTTTCTTGTCCTCAAATATGATCTGAAGTCTTAAAAAGTAAAATGTCTTTCCCATTTCCGGTGTTATATCTGGGTCTTCCAAATTTTTATTTATCTGTGACTGTCTGTTGGTTTCTTCTTTTGAATCCTCTATCTTTATGTCAGTTTCCTCTATTTTTTCTTCTGGTTTCTCAGTTGCTAATTCATTCTTTATGGTCATTTTCTGAACATTTTTTGCTTGTAAGTTTAAGTTGGAGAGTTGCTCATTTATGTTATTTAAATTATTTTTAGTCTTCTCATAATTTAAAACAATTGTCTCTTGAATTGATTTCAACATGGAATTTCTTTCTGAAGTCCATTTACATTTTCTTGTTGATTATCCATGTTTCTTTGAAAGAGAAATAGTCTAGAAGCAATTTTCCCACTGTTTCTTAATATTTCTTGATAATTCTTGAAACTAAAAGTCAGTCAATATTTGTCATCCAGGCCGGCCAGTTTAGAATGGTTTATTGCCCCCTTCATACAGATAAAACAGCCTAAGGATTTTTTTTCCCCCTTTTCCCAGCTGCAGTCTGCAAAAGTGAAAGTTTCCAGGAACAACAAAGAGCCTTACCTATGTCCAGGCTTCGTGCCAAATTTTCTTTTAAGCATAATAAATTGTAATGCCAAGGTTCACCACTAGGTGTCGTTAACATCCATCTTCCAGCTTTTAAATCCAAACCTATTTCATCAACTTTCCAAATATCTTTTCGAATATAAAGTCTTAAAAATACTTTTAGTCTCCAAATTTGTCAAAGCTATGTCTCTATATTGAATCTAATTTCCCCCGAAGAAAGTTATTCGCCGCTTCTCTTTTCCTGAGAGAAGGGGGTGAAAATTCCCCTTCTCTCTATTATCTGGGGGATTCTTTGCTTTGGGAGTTCTTTTTTTTCAGGAAAAGGTTTTAAAGTTATAAAGAGAGGATCGTTCTCACCTAGTTCCATCCGTGTTGTTCAGAAGTTGCTAGTTACTGCTTATCTTGGGTTGTCAGTGGCTTCTGGCTGGCCACATAAATGTGGCCAGTCTTTCTTCCTCCAGTTTGAAGGGCTTCCTCCACTCAAACGGAAGGGCTGCCACCCCTCCGCGATTGACGAGGTTCCCCTTCTTCTTCATCGCCTCTCCGGGGCGACTTTAGACCCTTTTTAGGCTCCCCAGCAGAGCAAAATCAGACATGGGAAATGGAGCCACGACGTCTAACCCGGAAGTCTCTGACATGTGAATTTTAAGGATCTCACATTAGGAGACTGTTACACAATATGGAAATCACCCTCCTGGGTAAACCAAAAAGTAAACATGGCTATACAACTATTTCTACGTTGTTGTAAGGACACATGAACAGAATCTTGTAAGTCTGAAAGTAGAATCTTCCTGTTGCCATTCTTAACTGTTTGATCCTTTAGGGTGGTCATTTCTGAGTTTCTTCCTCTGACCGTTAAGCCATTGGGGGCTGCTCATTATCTGATAATTTCTTAGGTAGCATCTTTTCCTTTTGTCCCTCAAGGTCATTCTTACATTTCAATGACACTGAAACCAAATTGTGTTGATATTATGTTTTCTGGAAGTACCTAGCTAAATGTGGAGGTCTTTTGTCTTCCTGTCCTTACTTTACAAGGGATGCTTAAATTGGATTGGATTGAGAACATGCTCTGGCATTATATTTCCCCCCAAATTTTCTTACACAGATACAGCTTACTTAGTGCTTAACTACTTAACTTATTTACTTATCTCTTAACACTTTGCTTTCCTTCACTACTGAAAAAAAGTATCTTTACGAAGGGCAATCTGGATTGGAGGAAGTGTTTTCTCAATAATATTATGAAATGCTTTTAATACTGAAGCAATTTATGGTATTCTGGACTTGAGGCGAACGGGAGAGAATTCCCAGATTGGGAAGTGGCAGCTGGCACAGGCCTAACACTTTCTCGTAGCTGAAGAATCTGTAGATACCTTAAAATAAATATTTGACATTTTACATTATAATGAATTTTTTATTATAAATCATTTGGAGCCTCTAAGATAAAAGCAAACTAAATTTTAAAAAAATTAAGTCAATAATCTAGTTCATTCCTCTCTCTCTCCTCCCTCCCTTCCACCCTGTTTTTTTTTACTATCCAGAAAATAACCCCTACAGTTTTGGCAGAACAACTATTGCTAACCTGAATTCTGGGTGAGTATGATCATTGAAGTGTTTCAAGAGATTCTGTGTGGTCAAGGAAATATTATTCATATCCTTTTAGGAAAAACTTCTCCAGAATTCATATGAGTTGGCCCTTAACCAAATGAGCCGTCCTCTAGCAGTGGTTGAACTCCGCTCTCTTCTTTTAATTTTATGGCAGGAATAACCTCTTATGGCTGCACACTACTTTTGCCTTCTTGTATTTGCTGTTAACTGTGTACAGCATGCGTCGCCACACTTCAAAGATGCGCTACAAGGAGGATGACTTGGTAAGTAAAGTAAAGTAAAAGCAGTAAAGTAAAGTAAAAGCATTTGGGAACAGGCCAGGTCAATGTTAGTTCTCCTTGAGGTTTCTCCTCCCCAAAGGCTTGATGAAGAGGTAGAGACAAAATACCAGATACGCTTTAAAGTAGCTCCTCCTTAAAGGCAGTTTCTTGAAGGTTCTTTCAGCTAAAACATTTAATGAATGGCTCATCAAGAGCCATTGTCACATGACATACATCTGTCCCCCAATGGGGAGGATGTGGGACTTCCTTGAAGAACACTCCATAAAGATGTTCGTTAAGTTTCCAGGAGTTGAGCTTGTTTGGGAAGAAATATTATTTTACTTATTTGTTGCCTCATATCTATTCCAGGTGAAACGGACTCTCTTCATAAATGGCATCTCAAAATATGCGGAACCTGAAAAGATCAAAAAGCATTTTGAGTAAGTCACTCATTCTTCATCCTGTCAGGAAGAAAAAGCTCTATTATTATTTTTTTTAACATAGTCAATTGTTTTTGGATTCCAGCTCTCAGGCTTTCTGACCAGGAAACAGGATGGGGATATTGTGGCTTAATAACATTTAGAAGGTGGCAGATTCCCCACAAATACAATAAAGAGCTGGTTTATATAGAAGTGATTTCTATTCTACATAACAGAAATGAAGGATATGGTTAATCTTGTGTTCCATTTCCAAAAAGTTCCATTTCTTTCCACATCAGAAAGAAAACATTTCAAAGGTGCTGTTCCTTTTCAGGATTAAAAGCACAATTCCAATCATCAGTCAGAATCTTTGAAGTTTTGCATTTTCTTCAGGAACCTAATAAGCCTGTCTGGGCGTCTTTCTTGTTTTGTAGGGAGGCCTATACAAATTGCACAGTGCTGGAAGCACGGCCCTGCTATGATGTAGCCCGGCTGATGTTCCTTGATGCAGAAAGGTACAGAACCTGGAGCTTTCTCAACAACTATTGTCAATTACTGGTGGCTGCAATGAGCCGTGTGATAAAAATCGAGCATAGCTGGATCACATATGTGAGCAGGATGTTTTCTGGGGCTTTATGAGAAACATTAGGATTTATTTTGTTGTTTCAATTACATTAACTCTATGGTGTTTGCTACAGTTTTAATGATTCTCAGCTCAAAGTGATGTAAAATTAAGCCACACATGTTGGATCATAACACAGTATTGTAGTCGGACAAGTTTCTGGTAATGGCACAATAAGGTGTGTGTGTGTGTGTGTGTGTGTGTGTGTGTGTGTGTGTGTGTTGGGAGGGCAATTACACGTGACCCTCAGATTGCCTTATCATGCTAGGAGAACAATTAAATTGCAATGGAGGGGCATTCTGAGAGTTTCAATTTTAATGTATCTGGAAGGTGCCATGTTGTGAAAGTCTTGGCTATTGTTGTCCAAGGTGACACCTGCAGTAAAAAGCATCATCCATTTTTGGTATTCGTAATAATGAATCCTGTAGTTAGGGTGGAGGTTAAGGGTGTTGGTTCTGGTGGACAGCATTACGATATAAAGAGCAAAATACAGCTGGGTGAGTATTGGACAGCAAATAGAGCAGAGAGTTCAACCAGGGATTCCAGTACATGGCTCTAACAGGCAGTGAGAATAATCCTGAGCAACAGGAGGAAAAGCCAAGGCAATGGTCAAATAAGAGAAATCTCAGTCCAAAGCAGGAATATAATGTCTCAGACTTGACCCTCTTTAGTTCTCTTTAGGTAAAGGCAAAGAGGGAGAGGCACATTCAGAGTTGCAAGATTCTGTTACTGTAACCCCTACAATAAAAATAGTTTTAGTATTCATGATTTTGGGGTTCATGTCTGGTTTATCAGAACGGGCTGACAATGACATGTGAAGAACTCTTAATCAAAACCAAGTGATATTGAGAACTTTCTATGAATTATGGACCCAAATTTAGGGACTGTTGAGATCTTGGATGCAACAAAATGGAAGAGTGAATTTCATATATTCTCTGGAACAACGTTGTGCTTACTTAGCTTTCTAGATATAGTGAAGCTTGTCAGCTACCCCTGGAAAGCAGAGTAACAGTAATCTGATGGTCTATAAAGGGTTAATAGGTTTCCCAGTCATTACAGAGATCCAGTAACAAAGTGGGATGTATTCTTTTATGAATTAGTTGGAGAAACTATATCAAAAATAAAATTATATGTAATCAATGAAAACTCAACTCAATAAAATTTAACCGTAAGTCAAATCACTGACCATACCTTAAAACCAGCACAGTACAATAAAAAAGATTAAACCTAATCATAAGATGAGGAATTGGCCTACCTCCACCATATGTAGATACTCCTATTTTGAGTCACCACAACACTCTAATCTAGTTCAAACATTGTTTTCTCAATTGGGAGACTGCTGTGGCATAAACCACTCCTTCCTCTGTTAAATGTCAGTTAATTCACTGAAGTAGGAAGGATTGTTTTCCTTCACATTCCATATTTTTATTTAGTTTTAGAAGTACCCAGGTATTGCTTCATAATAGTTGGATAAAGCTAACATTTAAAAATGTAATGAACTCGATTGTCTAATTCCAGTTCCCAGCACACACAAATTCCTTATTGAACTGGTATGCCAGAAAATTGGCTGCTTTGTGCTATTGCATTCACTTGCTGTAAATGCAGATTGGCAAAAGCTTTCTGATGCTCTGTTTCTACACTGAAGGCTGTACATTAAAGAAAGATGCTAAAGTGCAGGAATTTGTGTTGGCAAACTGGGATTAGCGGGATCATTTTACTGCAACAGAAGTACCTGCAGACAAATACCAATGAAATCTTGCTGTCTCACCACACTTAGCCTGTACATAGCCTACTTTGGCTTGCAATGATCACTGCTACCTGTTCTAAGCTTCCGCTTTTCTTACAATCTTTTGTTTCAGAAAAAAGGCAGAACGTGGAAAAATCTACTTTACCAATTTGCAGACCAAAGAGAATACCCCCACAATGATCAACCCAAAACCCTGTGGCCATCTCTGCTGTTGTGCTATCAAAGGCTGTGAAGAGGTGCAAAGAAGGGCTGGTTAATAACAAGGGACTGGGGGGATAGTGCTAGGAAATAGCATTAAAAAAAGAGAATCCAGAGAAACTCTTTCTCCTGATCTGATGTCACTGTCTGACATTTATTACTTGTGCACCCAAGGAGAAGAATTTGAGATTGGTTACCAGAACCTAGGGCTCTATTTTTGCTAGGGCATCTTCTTGTTTTATGATATTACTGAGAAGCTCCTGGGGATAACATGTATCAATTTCAGTTGCTGATTATTCAGTATATTATAGTTAATGACAGAGAGTTTGTATCTATCTTAATCAAAATGGTCCTTATCAAAATGGATTAGAATCTAATTATTCCATTTTTATTCCCACAACAGACCTAAACTAATGGACAATTATTTGCCCTCTAACATACTTCTACTTAAATGGTTTGCATTTAATGGACTGTGAAATCAAAATATTAAGGTGATCAGTAATTCTCATTTCTTGGGCAGATCACTGAGGAAATGTAATATTGTTATGTGTTGGGCTAATAATGTAGTATGCCTGCTTTGGGATTAAGTCTCTTGCTTTGTGGATATTTATGCAGGTGGAAGCCATTGAGTACTATACCAGCCTGGAGGAGAAGCTGAAAGAGGACTACAAGAAGGAAAAAGAAAACGTCAATGAGAAGCCACTGGGCATGGCATTTGTGACTTTCCATAATGAGGCCATAACCGCTATGTAAGTGTGTGCAGAGATCAGGCTGGAGAAACTTTTCACTTGTAGAAAAGGAGGGAAAACATCAAACTAGACAAGCTAAGATCCTCAATATCTTAGTCCCTGAGATACTCACAAATAAAGAGATGGTCACTAATGAGGTCAAATAGCTAGTCCACAATCTTGGGGTTTTTTATACATTTATTTAGGTTTGATTATTTTTATATTGTTAATGTAGCTATGTTTATACCTCACCCGGAGTCGCACCTATGTAAGCTATATAAATATGCTAAATAAATAAATGAAATGACAAATTCCAAGTGCTGCTGCTTCTGAAAGAAGCATCAGAGAACTTGTCCAACACTCAGTGGAAAACCCATCTTCAGTAGAAATATCTAGTTCCCCCTTAAAAGTATCAGTGCTACTTCATTCTGTAATAGATCATGTGCATTAATTAGTCCAAGCACAACTGGACATAATTGCAATTTCAGGATTCCTCCATATTCTACAATTCAGTTTACACTGGTCTTTAAAACTGTTGCCAGTTTATTTCATTGACTTAAATCTGAGTGGGAGGGAGAAGAAGGAAGGAAGGAAGGAAGGAAGGAAGGAAGGAAGGAAGGAAGGAAGGAGAGAGAGAGGAAGGCTTTTTTTTAACACAACACCTCCAGACTTCATTGTTTTCTGAAGTTCTCCCTTAAAATCATGTTTTTTTCTTTCTGTTCTAATTTCTAACAGAATATTTTAAATTAGTGATATTGCCACATCACAAAAATGTATATAAAGGCCTTTGATCACCTCCTTATCTATTCCCTCTCCACTTTCTTCCAGAATCCTTAAAGACTTCAATGCTTGCAAGTGCCAGGGCTGCAAATGTCGTGGGGAGCCCAAGGCTTCTTCCTGCAGCGAGTCTCTCCACATTTCAAACTGGGCAGTCTCTTATGCACCTGACCCTCAAAACATCTACTGGTAAGTTGGCCTAAAAAGGGGAACTCAATAAGTCTTTGTGCTTCTGATAGGTATGTGAGAGCGCCAGTAAGAGGGATCCTTTAGAAGGGGCTCAGCCTCATTGGTAATATTATCAGTGAACAAGCTAGATTTTAAAAGTGGAATTCAGCAATAAAGAGGGTGGCCAGGATATCATCCTAAAATGCAGTCCCACCTTCCACAATTGGCATTGGATTCTTCCACACTTAAAAGAGGTTCTTTGTGTTGTCTCTCTCCTCCAGGGAGCATCTCTCAATACGTGGCTTCTTCTGGTGGTTCCGCTGCCTGATCATCAATGTGGTGCTCTTCATCTTGCTGTTCTTTCTCACCACACCTGCCATTATCATCACCACAATGGACAAGTTCAATGTCACTAAGCCTGTCGAATACCTGAATGTAAGATCTTGACCATATGAGGCTTACAATGAAGATCTTCCCTTGTCCTGCTAAGTTTAGGGCAAAAACAACATACCTGTTTCAGCATAGTTCAGGCACACACACACACACACAAAATCCCCAACCCTTTCTGTAGACTTGAGTCTGATTGTTCAGTATGTGGCTTTTGAAAGTAAAACTGAGGAAGAGCCTGCCAGAAGTCACTTTGCAATTGCAACCAGTGAAATGGCAAGGATAAGTAAGGGAATCTGTATTGTTAGCAATGATAATCAGAGTTAAAGGATTGCAGGAGTTGTTCTTGGCTGATATGTTAGAGTTAGCTGATGGGTCATAAATATAATTCCACTAATGGTTTTTAAATTGTTCCTGAACTCAGTTTGGTTTTTTTATTTTCCAAATATCAATGAGAAATAGACTCAAGCTGGTTTAGCAAGCACATTAGTGCTTAAAGCATATATGAGGCTTGAAGGTTAAAGGGTACATGACAACATAGTTCCATTTGAATACACACAGACAGACACACACATCGTGGATTCTCTGGTACAGCCCTTCCTCACCTAATATATTTCAAATGATCTGGGCTAAATTCCATGATCCCTAGCCAGTACTGACAAAGTCAGACTCATGTAAAGGGTATCTCTTTGGGGCAGCTGCATTAAGGGCGTTTCAGTGGATAACATTGTCCTTCAATTGCTGGAGTTTAAATAATTTAAAGTGGGCTTCGGAATTCTGCCAGGTCCTCTAGACTGAATCTACTTTGCATTTATGGCCATTAAAATCACAAAACTGTAAAAGATCCAAACATTTTATTGGCTTGCAGAACAGATATATTGACTTTCTCCTTTTTCTGAAAAAAATAATAATCATGTGTCTGAATTTAGATCTTCATCTGTTTGGTTCTATAGCTCTGAAGTGCAATTTATATAAGTAAGCATAGTTCAAATGTAGAGTGGTATCCTAAAATAGGAGATGCCCTCATATTTTTCCAATAGACAAATATAGGAATTGTTCTGATCCATACTAGATTGGTACAAATAAATGCATTCTATCCTTCCATTGTAACTTGGGAGAATAGGTGCTGTTGGAACCCATTCTGGGTCCTTGCATCTGATTTTAGAAGGCAAATATAAGATACTATATTCTATCAGAAAATTTGAATACCTTGTGTGTAAAAAATAGAATATGGTTTCAATGTGCATACAGAAATCTCTTCATATTTATATGGAATAAATTTGTCACCCAAATTTGGGGTTCTTAGATATTTTATGTCTCAGGATTTCTGCTTGCATACTGTGAGAGGGGAGCTAAGACTTACAAAGCTATTCTGTATCTCCTGATTTCTCCTTTTAAACTGGGACTGTGTGGCTATGAATTGCACTGTGGAAAAATTCCATCTAGAAATGTAATATTCTATGTTCTTCTACAAGTTGCTTGGAACAGGTGAATTATTGTTTTATCTTTTTTGCCAGAACCCTATCATCACCCAATTCTTCCCTACTCTATTACTGTGGTGCTTCTCTGCTTTGCTTCCTACAATTGTGTATTATTCAGCATTCTTTGAAGCTCATTGGACTAGGTAAGATGGGAAATAAAATTGAAGTTATTCAGAATTTAACTCTTGCTTATAATTTTTCTTCCTTGCAACCAGAGAATTATACCCTGAATTATTTTTTAATTTAATTTTTTTTTGTGGACTTTTACGTTGTGTATAACCTCTGAAAATAAATTTAAGAGAGGCGGTCAACTTCGGTTTTACTATTGGGGTAAATAACAAGATAATCTTGTAATAAGGGTTCCTTCTGGACATATTTTGAAAAAAGAAAAAAATACAATTGATCTACATGTTGAAACATGGTTTGTTGCAATGCTGTGTTCAATCTATAGCTGCAAACTCAAAATGGAGAGTTTTAGATATGAAATAAATATATTCGATAATAAGTTTGGTTCACAAGAAGTCTTTTGTACATGAGTATTATTCATCTCTTCATATCACTCTAAGATAACTTGAAACAGCTCTGTATCAATATTATTAGTCTTCCAGAAATATCTTTTCTTTAGGATTTACTTCTTAAGGATCTTGCTCTGTTAATTATCATCATTATAATGCATACTTATGTGCTGCTGTTTCAGTGTTTTATTCTTTGTGCATTGCATAATGATATAGAATAATTAGTAGTACATAAATAAATTTTGCACTTCACCACCATGTGGCTTTTATTTCTCAAAAGCTACTGGAAGTAACCATATGCCCTATAAATCTACTAATATTCTTTATGCCACTAGGTCTGGAGAGAACAGGACAACCATGCACAAGTGTTACACTTTCCTCATCTTCATGGTCTTGTTGCTGCCATCACTGGGCCTGAGCAGGTAAATACTAGGATATTGAACAGCAAACAATTTACTCAATTTTACCTATACTGCTGCTGTCCAGTTTTGTTTTGATCTGAAGAGGTAAAACTGAAAAAAGAGCCATGATGGTGCAGTGGTTAGAATGCAGTATCGCAGGCTAATTCTGCCAACTTCCAGCAGTTCGATCTTAACCGGCTCAAGGTTAAGAAGATCCTTCCGAGGTTGGTAAAATGAGGACCCAGATTGTTGGGGCTAATACTCTGACTCTATAAACCTCCTAAAGAGTCCTGTAAAGCAATATGAAGCTGTATATAAGTCTAAGTGCTATTGCTGTTGTTAAAAAAAGTAGCAGAAGATACTTTATAATGTTTCCAGTGTTGCAGTGGTCACTGGTTCATGACTTTTGTATCACATCAATTAATTATGTCAGCCAGATAGACAAAATAAAAAAAACAGAGGAGATGAGCTACTGTTACTTTATTGTAAGGCTATATTAAGATAATCTTGGTAATCTGAAAGTACAAATTTCAAGCTTTACACAAGCCTGAGAAGTTTTGGAAGGTACCTTCTAAGCCTCTTTCTCTGCGTGCTATGCAGCTGAGGGATGTAGCTCTATTATCTATCTGATTCTTCCCTAGGCATCATTTTTTGTCCCATTTCTCAATGTCTCCCTCACATATTGTTACAAGTATGGTTGCTATCTCTAGAGATAATTCCTCTCCTGTGATTAACATTTCTTGTTAATCTACCTGTGATAAATTCATTCCAATTCTTTATATGCTAATTTCCAGTACATTATTCCAAATGTGAAATGTCAAAAGTGCTTTCAAATTATCTGAGGCTAGTATAACTTGCCAACAATATGCTGACTCTGCAAACTGCTTATAGAGGATTGTAAAGCACCATGAAGTGATATATAAGTCTAAATACTATTGCCCACCCCACTCCAGCTAACCACATCTGAATTTCTATATTGGTGTTCTCATTAGTAATCAGCATACACCAAGGAAACTTTGTTTTGAATAACTTTTTTCTGGAATATCCCAAATCCTTTTTCTGAGCAAGTGATATAGAAAAGAGAAAAACTAACTGACCCAAATCAACTTAAACATCAGGAGGAACTACTTTTTCCAAAGTTGACAATATTTTGGCTTATCAGGAAAGGCAGGCTGCTAAATGAAAAGCAGTCAAAATATCTGATAATTTGCATAAAAGGAGGGTAGCAGATTCCCTGCAATCTCATAGTGGCACCCGTTAAATGTGGATGTAATTTTGATGATCCTGCTTTTACACTGGGTGGAGGCCAACTATTTGAGGCATAACAGAGTTAAGGAAGAAATACAGTGATTAGGTGGGTTTTAGCTCCGGAGTGTCCTAGACAAGATAGTCCTCCTTCAAAGTGAGAGAAGCCAGAGCTTTGACTAGTTTTCCTAGATGTTTTCCTAATTCACTGAACTGTAAGAAAGAGGAGAAGGTACAGCATGATCAGACTTGTGAAACTTTGTTACACCTATTTTAATAATAATAATAATAATAATAATAATAATAATAATAATAATAATAATAATAATAATAATAATAATAATAATAATTTTCTGTTGATAATTACATTGCACTCTTTCTATATTTCTCTTCCTAGTTTGGATGTGTTTTTCCGCTGGCTCTTTGATAAAAAGTTCTTGGCTGAAGCTGCCGTAAGATTTGAGTAAGTCTTAAACTGTTTTAAGAATACAATACAATAATAATAATAATAATAATTGTAATATTTGCTCTTTTCACATCCTGCTTTCCTCAGGAAGCATCTTCCAGGACAGCCAGTTTATCTTAAGCATTCAGACAAGGAGGAACAGTTGTTATGGAATACCATACACTCATTTTATGAGATTTTATGTGACTTCCTCAGCTCCCTTCTCTGGAAGGAGTAACTTGTCTATTTTTACAGAGTGCGTCTTGTGTAGCACTTTTATTAATAGTGACCACCATGGAGAAAATACCTAATCAACTTCATCCTAGGTGGAACATATCAGGGCAGCCAAATCTCCCCAATATCTTATTACAAATCTCACTTTCCCTCTCTTTTTTTTTTAACTATCCCATGCAACTCATACTTTTTTCATGATTTCAGTAGCTATTTTTCCTTAAACTGTTGGAGGGTGTATTCTGGGTATAAACTATCTATGGGAAGTTAAGATGGTTCTGTAAACAGAGGTGTTTCCACAAATGCTGAAGAACAAAACAAAATTACTATATTCAAATACATGGCAACATACATACTGTAATTCCAGGAGCTTTAGATATAAATAGCTTTGTAGTAGCCAGTTAGGTAATGGACAGCTAGAAAACAACATAGCAAGATTTTAAATTTGCCAAGAGGTTTCCATGAGTGGTTTGTTATTCCCTTTGTTATTAAGGATGATTTTTTTCAGTTTCCCAGGCTGGGCTACACTCATACAATTCTTGATGATCTCCCTGATTAATATAACTTTTTCCAAGTCAGCCAAGTTGCCTCTCTGTTTTTCCAGATGCGTTTTCTTACCAGACAATGGGGCCTTTTTTGTGAACTATGTAATAGCTTCTGCATTCATCGGAAATGCCATGGATTTGCTGCGCATCCCTGGTTTGCTTATGTACATGATTCGGCTTTGTCTTGCCCGCTCAGCCGCTGAACGCAGGAATGTCAAAAGGGTAAGTAAGTCAGGCAAGGAAGGGAAGAGCAATGCCTGTTAGGCATCCGAAGGCTGAGGTAAGTGTAAAGTGGTTGTCACTTTACAGAAAATCTTCACTTTTTTTTTCATGTGCTGATAGGAATTCTGTTTTCTTTTTTAGCATCAAGCTTATGAATTCCAGTTTGGAGCTGCTTATGCCTGGATGATGTGTGTCTTCACTGTGGTTATGACTTACAGCATCACGTGCCCCATCATTGTTCCCTTTGGTAGGTATTATCACATCCCCTTGGCTTTCTTGTAGCTAGTAGCATATTGACAAGTAGGTGTATGAATAGCCACATTCGTCTTCATCATGGATCATTAATGAAATTTTGGATCTGGGTTATCTCTTCAGTTGCTTTCTCCTAGTAGAATTTGCTTATCTAGTAAGAACCAGTAGAGAGAGATTGCTGTGGGAATTGATTCAATATCGCAAGGATGAGGCTTCTTAACTCTGTCTGGAGCAGAGTGTGCCAAGAAAACAAGGTGGATAGCCCCATCCCTTCTTGTGACCTGCAAGATATTATGATCTGGAACTTCAGGAGGGTCTCTGGGGATGGAGTGGTTGTAAAAGGGCAATCTGAGGAAGTGGCATCATAATAGCGTGTGAGTGGGGAGGGGAGGGGAGTTCCATGTTTTTAATCTAATTGTTATATTTATGCAATGGTAATCTGTTTCAAGTTGATTTTAATCGGAATGTAAATAAAATAAAGAAAATGCATTGATTTCTTCTACCTTCTAAAGAAAGGGAAGAATCCAACTACGGTAATACATTATTTTCTCTCCTCTTTTAGGTCTGATGTATATGTTACTGAAGCACTTGGTGGACAGATACAACCTCTATTATGCTTACCTACCAGCCAAGTTGGACAAGAAGATTCATTCAGGGGCTGTGAATCAGGTGGTGGCAGCACCCATTCTATGCCTCTTTTGGCTCCTTTTCTTCTCTACTGTGCGCACAGGTGAGACAAAATTTACAGGAACTAGATTTTGTGGGGTTTAGGTTTTTTATGTCCACCATGGTTTCTAACCCACATAGTACAAGCAACATGGTGAGCAGCTATACCAGCAGTGTAAATAGAGCCACCTTCTGATCTTCACAAAGAGCAATTGAAGGAGCAAATTGATTCCATTATTTAGTGTCTTCTCTCACCTGGTGTCTTTTAAATGTCTTCGATCAACTTGCAGCAGACAGCTTGAACTACAAGTTGTAATACAGGTATCCTTCAGAGGGTCAGAAATGACTGGGCTGAGAAAGGCAAAGCTACATTTTGGAATTGGGACATCTAAAGAAACGAGGATGAGAAGAGGAATTATCTGAACTCAAACATTATTGTAGCATGTTAGTGCAAATCATAGGCTCAATTGATTTATCCTCAATCAAGCCAACATGGCAATTGGGTTAGGGCAAATCTTCTCCAAAGAATTAGGGATCCATAAGTTACCATATTTACCATTTGAGAAACAATTATTTTTATTTTCCCCACATTTTCTAGGTCTATGTCCCAGGTTATCTTCAGATGTTGTTAGGCCCCAATGGTGCTCAGAGTGTCTTCAACCATGTCCTAGAGTTTTCCTCTGTTATAGAATCTAATGTTTGAAATTTTGCAAAATAAAAGCAAAAGTAGAGAAGATTCAACTGCAGCTATTGCTGATATTCCTTCATCCTTTTCTCTTGGAATGCTACCACCACTTTGTTCCAGTTATACTGAGCTTTAGGAGATGAAGTAAAACAACCTCTATTATGCTTACCTACCAGCCAAGTTGGACAAGAAGATTCATTCAGGGGCTGTGAATCAGGTGGTGGCAGCACCCATTCTATGCCCATTCTAGTCCCGTTGGGAGAAGGGCGGGATATAAATCAAAATAAATAAATAAATAAATAAATAAATAAATAAATAAATAAATAAATAAATAAATACAGTATCACTTCTGATAGTATTAAAAGCCAACATAGAACATAGAATAACAGAATTGAAAGGGACCTTGGAGGTCATCCAATCCAATTCCCTGCGCAAGCAGGAGAGTCTAAACCATTTCAGACAAGTTGTTTCTCTGCTTGATTAGTTTCCATCCATTGGTTCTTTTCTTGCCTTCCGGTGCTTTGGTAAATAGTTTGCCCCTTTCATCTTTGTAACACCCCCATAGTTCCTGCATTGTTAATGGAGTCCTCTGCAGGTTTGCTGTAGAATTGCTGTTAGATTTTGTGGATTAGAAAAGATAATTTGGGGGAGGGGGGAGGGATTCCATGGCTTATTGAGTGGTAGGAGTTTATGAACAGGAGAAACAGGAATGCCTAACTGAAATGAAATGTACTTCCTGTAGCAGGGAACAGCAAATTTCCCCTAATGTTTAGGCCATACCTGCTATGAGAGAAGGTTGAAGTAAAGTCATGAGAAGGGCAAATCAGATTTGTGTTAGGTAGCTTGACTGTTGTTATCTGCTTTCTATAGGATTCTTGGCTCTCACGTCCATGTTTACTTTCGTGGTTCTTGTCATCACTATTGTGATCTGCCTATGTCATGTCTGCTTTGGACACTTCAAATACCTCAGTGCTCACAATTATAAGGTAACACATACTAAATACTAAAATACGTTCAGGGGAGGGATTTGAAATCAAGGAAGATGTGTGAAATGCCTCAACTTTGTATGCAATTTTTATTTTTTAATTGCATGTTTGTTTTTATGGTCCGTTCTGTTAAGTCTCCCAGAATTATTTGCTTAAGATATAAATAAAGGAGAGAAGCATTTCTTGTACACCCTCTACCTTGAACTTTCACTGAAGTTCAGAGGGAAAAAATGTAGGCTTGCAGTTTTCTGTTTTTGCCATCTTTATGCCCAGCTGGAAAAGTACTAGACGTTCTGTCCCTGCTGTTTGCACTTGCTAGAAAAAGAGAAAGACTTGCTGTTTCCACTGGGAAATTAAGAGTCTTTTCATGTACAGCCTAGAAGGTGCACTTCTCAGGCTTCTTACCGGGCAGGAAGGAAAAGCAGTGATGGGTTAGCTGTGCATGTGAAGATTGAACAATCCCTGTAGAGAATAATTTTGGCACATGAACCTCCTACATGGTTCTTTCATTATAGCAGCATGCAGGAAGAAACTAGAAAGAATGAATGCTAAATAGTCCAGAGTAGATGGCGGGAGATAGAGTGGAAAGAGATTTTTCTATTTATTATATCAATTTATATAGCCATCCATCTTGCACTCTGGACAATGAATATAGAATTAAAAAAGCAACATAGCAGCAAGCGAAAAACACACTCACAATAATAGCGCAATCATAAAATCCTGGCACCTGAGGACACTCTCACCCAACTCATATAAAGACAGTCACATGTATCCAGTCTGCAGACTACAGACTTGAGGAATGAGAACTGGGGTTGCTGTTGTTTCATGGCACACTGTTGTCTTCCAGATTGACCACACAGAGGCAGATGCTGTGGATGGAAGAGAGAATGGGCGGCCTGCTGCCAGTCAACCTCCGGCCCCTAAATCAGCTGTGAGTCTCCAGCTCCTCCGCTTGCCCTCTGCCTCGCCAGATGTTCTGTGTCCTCTTATGTCTGACTTTGGGGAGGAGGGAGAGTCATTTACAGATTACCTTTCAGGTTCCCCCCTGGTTGGCTACACACAGGCAGCATCAAAGGAGCATGGGCAGGAAACAGGCTTTATTACTGGCCCTGTCTGAAATGATGGACCTGCAAACCTCAGTTTTTGCCCCCATCCCAGTGCTGTTTGTTCACTTTCGGGCCTTTGTCTCTCAGCTGGACAATGAAACTAGACTGGTCAGTGCCCCCCTTCCTCTTTTGCTTTGTGGCTCTAACACATTGGCATGTGCTCTTAAGTGCTGCAGAAAGAGCTGAGGCCATCATTTCCCAGGGCAAAGGGGTTTTAAGTGGAATGAGAATTTGGATGCCTGAATTAACCAGAACAAAAACTGCTCTGGAAATGTGAAGGGTTCCAGTCATGCCATGCAGAGTATTACGTATGTACTCTAATGTGGCTCCCAGAAGCTTGGAAAAATCTTCCAAATAACAGCTTTATTTTATATAACTTGAAGTAGGTTGGTTGGTTTGACTAAACATAAGGAAAATATGAGAGAGGAGATTACTGTAACTGATCATTTCCATCGTCATCCATTTTTTCATAGTACTTGTTTTGTAAAATCCTTTCAAATCTTCCATGCTGATCCAGAACCCCAGGTGCACTCTAGTAAATATACAGAGCTTCTGTCCTTGTCAGTTTCCCAGTTCTAAAAGCAAAGGAAAAACAGCTTTTGCATCATACTTTGTCTTGAAAAGTGTCCCGTTAGTCCTATTAACTGCCAGAGGACAAGGATGCTTCTCTCTCTTTGCTGTGGCCTGTTGAGAGTGAGAGGCATGAAGTTTCACTGACAAGGAACTAGGAGATGTTGCAGAAGCGGATCAAACCATGGCAAGTGAAGCAAGCTTTGAATGGCTGCCACAATATCAAAGTGTGGGGATGTTCCTGCTTTTGATGAAGGTTCCTTCACAAAGATTTCTGAATGAGCAGAAATTACTTCCGTAGGAAATACTTCCTATTTTGGTGGCTTTTTCATTGATTTGCTTAAAAAAAAAAAAAAGGACCCAAAGCAAAAAGCCGTTATACAGAAGCACAAGGCAAGAAAACTTTGGAGCAAGCTGGGTTGTCATGTAGCTTTTTTTTACTACTGGATGTCTCGGAAGAGAATATGTGACCTTCCAGATGTCAATTGAACTACAGTTCCCAGCATCCTTTATATTTTGCAATGCTGGGGGGGGGCATTGTAGTTCAGCCATACCTGGAGAGCCATAAGATTCCTCAGCCTTGAGTTATAGTCATCTTTAAAGAAAAGTGAGGTCATCCTTAATGAGAAGTCAAGTGTGACATCTCAGGCACAATTGGAAACGTCATCTAGTATTTATACCATAAGCTCTGGTGTCGTGTAGTCCTTCCTCTCCCCCCCTCCCCGCCCATGCTAAAGAAAACCATTATGTAGGGTTCTTTTTGATGCCAGCATGATTGCTCTCAAGCTTCCATCCGCATGGCACAGCCATCATAGTTTGCCTCCAGGTTTCCCATCCAGGCAGAAAGCTAACGGGTCCTTCCCTCTTCCCCTTTCTGTCCACTCCACAGAAATACATTGCCCAGGTGCTACAGGATTCTCCACCAGACGGTGACATGGCTGAGTCTGAAGAACAGGGCTCCCAGGACGAGGATCTCATCAACCCCAATGGCATTAATGACACAGATTTCCAATCGTGTGAGGACAGCCTGATAGAAAACGAAGTCCATCATTAGGGATTGTGGGAAAGCACGAGGGGGCAGGGGAGTCCTGAGGGTTGACACGGCTGCTGTGCGTTGTATGTATATGTGTGAGTGAATGAGCAATAGAGGGAAAGTCCAAGCAAGGGGAAGAAGAGCAGCACATGCTCAGCACCAACCAACCATCACCACCTCCCATTCACTTGGCTGTTGCATTATTGCTCATTCCAGGGTGGGGCGAAACCATTTGACCTCCATTCTCTGTCTTTCCTATCATTCCTCCTTCTCCCTCTCCCCCTCCTTCTGCCTCCTCCTCACGCCCCATCGAGGGTAGGAGCAGAAAGTCTCTTGATAAGTTACCTGCCATTCCCGCTTTCTGAAGCCCTACAAGTCCAAGATGGAGTCAAAGGGATGACTTTGCTACTTCATGGTGTCAAGGAGAGGAACTGAAGCAAGGACATCAGAAGCCTGGGTGTTTCTAATGGCAAGAATCTATTCTGGCAGAGACTTCATCCTGCCCTGGACTGCTACCCTCCTCTAGAACTCTCTAGTCTCAGATACTAATAATGAATTAGGTTCCAATGAGGACTGAGCTTTAATCAAGGTACTGAATTTCTAAGCTAAGAATATGGGTGGCTTTGAACCTGGCAGGAACCAGTGGTTCCAGCCAAGCGGAGCTGTTTTTAATTGTGTATAAATTTCCTACTTGCTTGTGCATCAGCAAGCATCTTATCTCAGATGGCCAAGATGCAACCCTATGATAACCTCGGTCTTGGTCACTTGTTCTCTCCAAGGCTGGCTTGTAAATAAGCTATCAAGAGCAAGAGGGATTGAATGGAAGAGGCCATCTGCTGCCATGAACACTACCCAATGAAGGCCGCAAATGGAGAATGTTGTCTAACAGCAGGTATCCATGAACAACTCCTAGTAACCCCTGTAGCTCCCGGGGGGAAGTGCCTGTTTCAGGGTGAGAAAAGGTACAAGGGATTTGCCAGGAGAGGGTTCAGCAGGATAAGCAGCCCCTCCCAAGTATCTATTCCCACATTGCTTCCACCCTGAATGTGAAACAAGGCACTGTGATTTATTTGGGTTCTGCAGCAACTTTGCACATTTGTTTTACCTTCAAAATTGACTAAAACCCTGCTCTCTTGTCCTAATTTCCCAGAAGGGAGAGGAAGAGAAAGGGGTTGGTTTTCTAAATCTGTAACTGGAAAAGGTTTCCACTGAATCCCCAGGATTGTAAGGTTTCCCAGCTCATCCATTTGCACCTCAGACCCTTCTTGCATGAGGCTGCCTGTGTATTCCCTAAGAGGCAGCTTGGCTGCTTCACCAATCCCACAGCCTTGCATGGAACTCTTAAGGCAGAGGTAGGCAACCTTGGCTCTTTTATGACTCGTGGACTTCAACTCCCAGAATTCCTGAGCCAGCATGGCTCAGCTTGGAAACTTCTCTTTCCCCCTCAGCATGGCTGGCTCAGGAATTCTGGGAGTTGAAGTCCACGAGTCATAAAAGAGCCAAGGTTGCCTACCCCTGTCTTAAGGAGCCGCCTGACGACTCAAGGGTTGCCATCTCTTGACCTGCTTCCCAGGTGGGAATTCAGCTGCTGGGCCTTTTCCTTCAAAAGTGGTCTTTCTGAGGGGCACTTCTGTTTAGAGTGGAGATGAGGCAAAGGGAGATGAGAGTTTCCGCGTAGAGACCCTGCTTTTTCAGATGGGTTTTATGGGGAGGCAAAGAAGCTGTTGTTTCCCCTCTTTCACCTCTGGACTGCCTGGCATGTTGGGTAAGGTAAAAAAAACAAAACACCCAACTCTCTTTGAGCTAAATCCCTTTTCTGAAGGAAACCTAGACAGAAGGATGTACTTTGCTGCTAAGCGGTCTTAATGTTTTGCCTTCTGTGCTCTGCACAACTCTGCCCTTTGCCTGCCGGAATCAGTACTTGAGAAATGCTGCCAGTGTTGCCTAGAGGCAGAGGCCCTATCCATTTTTTTTCCATGGAAGTGGGTGTAAATTATAACTCCCTTCCTTCTTTCAGCCAGAAGGGCCTGAAGATTTTTAGGGAGGTGAGATAGCCAGGTGGAAACAAGAGTATGGAGACTTGCCACTTGGTAAATCAGGGTACTCAAGCACAAGTACTGAAGATTAGGCTTAGTCAAAACTGCGTAAGTTGCTGATGATCAAGAATCCAACTAAGAAGCCCCTTGAGCCTCCTGAGTGGGAGAAAGAGCTGGACTTTCCATTTCCCTTAAAGGAGGAGAGATGAAGGTTTTGAAGAACCCTTTTCACCCCTTGGAAGCTGGACCATAGCTTGTGGTGAGGTGTTTTTTTTCTTTTTTCTGGAGCTATCCTAGATGGTGATAGGGAGGGGTATAGGAGCATGAGCGCCTCTCCTCCTTCCGATGCTGTCATAGCCACTTTGTGCAACAGCCACTCTGCTGCTGAAATTGCACATGGAATTTTATTTTAAGCGTTTTGTTCCCGGATGTTTCTTCAATGCTGTCTAGAAATAGTATGTGTTCCATGCCGGAGTTTCCTGTCCTGGTCCCTTGGCACCATATTCCTCAAAGCCCAGTCACCAAGGCTGTATCTGCATCAGCCCCACAGCTTCCATTTGGGTACATGGAGATAGACCTGACATCTGTGTATATACAGCTGCAGTGTGAGACTGGCTTCTGCTAGTGGGGATTGGGTGCAGATCATTGGTGTCCCCCCTCCTGCAGGGAGCTCTGTTCTAACTGGCACTTTGTCTGTGTAGAGATGTGTATAAATACCCTGTACATATTTGTGTAAAAAAGGAGAAAAAAAAGAGGAACTTATCATATTTCCACTATGTTTGTGTGTGTGTATATACATATACTATCTAAAAGTGGGTCGGAGGGAAGACACAAGATTGACCGCTATTTGAAAAACAGCAGGCAACAACAAGGTTAGGATGTATGGGGATTATTTATTTTATTTATATGTTGCCCATCTCACTCTGGAAAGTGACTCTGGATGGCATTTAATTTAATGAGGGAGAAGCACTATTATGTGAGGAGACCATTGGGAATTGCATTTCCCTCCATAACGGCCACTATAATACTGATTCAACACTGAGAAGAAGCAAGAATCTCACTATGAGGTGAGATCATCAAGCTCTCTAGTGCTATACTAAACATTTCTTGAATGTTTTTTGCAAACGTTTTCATACAATTGGAAAGAGAAAAAGTGGCTAGCAGTGCATTTCCTAGAGAAAAAAAAAAGAATGCCAGTATCATTCTCATAAATGAAATGTAGTCAAATGTACTCAAACTAAACCACATCGTATATTTTGCCTCTGTAGACAACATATCCTGATATATCTTTTCTGCAATTTCAAATACAAAGGAAACAAAGGGGGAAATCCTTGACAAAAATGCTCCTTTTCATAGCGTGATGGAGTGATGGGCATGGAAGCAAAACTGTTTGCTAATACAAAGTAAATACAGAATGTTTTTCCAAGCATGGCTTTGAGGTTCTATCTGCTTTCTCTAAAATGTTCACCATCAAGCCTATAGTAATGTTTTGGGGAAAAGAAAGGCATCTGTCTAAAGTCCATATCCCCAAACATTTGCCCTTCCTACAGCAGCTGAAAGCTAATGTAGATCTCTTATTACTTGACAACTATGTAAACCCAGCTTGGGACAAAACCAATACAGGCAAAATAGCCTCTTGACTTGAAAGTATGGATAAGGGAGCCAAGTTTTTTATGGGCTAAAAGGCTCTGGACCTCTGCCAGCTACTATATGAACACAACACTCCTTTGATGCTTTACCACTGCTGTCTCTTGCTGCCTAATCATGCTGCCAACTGGATCTGAATGAGATGGCAGTGAAATGAACTCATCTTTACTGGAAGCAAAAACATCGAAAAAGAGGTTCTCGGGATGAAAAGACAGCTGCACTGGACAGGTGGGAGATTGCATGCAGCTCTATTCTAAGATAAACACAAAGCAAGATTAAGGAGCAAAAATAACACAGGTTTATGGCTAGAGAAAACTTATTCCAATTTTCCCATATAAACTCAGATGCAAAGAAAGGGTTTTTTAATTCCATTCTTTGCAACAAGACAGGCACTGAAGAATTGCTCCCCTTTTTATCCCGAAGTCCCAAGATTTTATCTTCATGTATTCTGACTTGCAAGAGAGGCCATCAAGGAGAGCTGCCTCCATCTTTTGTTGCTGAAGCCCTGATGAGAACCAAAGTTGGAGCAAGTGATAATCTAGCCCAATGGTTCTCAACCTGTGGGTCGGGACCCCATTTGGGGTCGATCGACCATTTCACGGGGGTCGCCAAGCAAGGCTGTCCGCCATTTTTTTGTCCATTTTTTTTTGTCCGCCATTTTTTCCCCCTTTTCCGGCGGGTGCCTTACCTCCCTTGGGCTGGGCCAGCTGGTAGTTGGCCTGCTCCGTCTCTGCCACTTGCCAGCTACGCCTCGGCCGGCGCAGGGGGCAGAACCACGCATGCGCGGCGCTCCCGGGCAGGGAAAGTCCTCGACTTATGACCGGTTGGGTAGTCCTCGACTTACGGCCGGTTTAGTCCTCGACTTACGACCGGGTTAGTCCTTGACTTACGACCGGTTGGGGTCGCGGCATTAAAAAGGTTGAGAACCACTGATCTAGCCATTATAGCATTTGAGGCATTCTCACCTCTTCACAATCCTTATGCTCTTGTGAGTATAAATAAATAAATGCATTGGTTAGACTCTTCAAGCTCTGCATATATTCATGGCATGCAATTCAGTTGTATTATTTGCCTTTATTTATTTATCTTAACCATTGAGTAGATTATATAGCCCAGAATGGTCATCATGCTGAAGTCCAGCATTTTGCAGCCTTCCTCTAAATTCTAACCCTGCCAATTGCCTCCATTAACATAATACAGTCCTATACATCTACTGATTTTCTACTGAGTAATCAATTCAGTTAGACTCACTTGCAGATAAATCACTGTAAAAAATAAAAGTTTAAAACTAATCAGCCTGGGTCAGGAGTAAGCTAATAGAGAATTACAGGCTATATATTC